CCCATTATTACTGAGGAATAGTTGGAAAAAATGAAATCCAAGTCATTAAGAGACTCTACTATTCATGCAACACTCCCTTTTTAAGAACATGTACTTTTAAATTCTGTCCCTGACCCCCTTTTTCTTCCACACACTGTTCAGGAATAGGCAGTGGATCCATTTAGATCTGGCCTAATCACTGTTGGAGATACAACCGTTGCTAATCCTCTGATCTCCCCTCTCACTGGTGCTGCTGACGCCTTGAGCTCTCTCCAGAGAGAGAGAGGAGGGGAAATGATCCACCTGAGAGGCTGCCCGTTTTCACCGGGGACACACAGCCCAAAATATGTTTCAGATTATAATACAAAAATTATATTTTCAACTGCCTTCATCTTGTAAATAATTAAGCTATCCAAAAAGACAACATGTACTGATTAGTTTTCCCCACTGACAACAAGAGGTTTGTATTGCCATGTTTCATTCATAGCAAAAACAGAGAACATTAGAAAATCCTCACCTTTGAGAAGTTGTATTCTTTGCTTGACCAAAAATGACCAACTGATTTCCCATCATAGACTAAGGCTGTAAAATGGAACGCCCAACAAATATGTTAACTTGCATAGCCAATTAGTTGATTTCAGATTAAGTCAAATTGAGTTTCTCCACAAAGATTCATGCTTTAAATCCTGTGTTTACCAATGACGTGCTCGAGTCATACGTTACGTGGAAAGAAGTCAATGAGCATGACAAATGCATAAAACATGACTGATCAACTAAAGAAACATTTTTAAACTGAGTCCAGAGCGGCCAAACTAAGGGGGCCATCGCTACAGGTAACCACAACACAGCACCCCTCTCTATATAGATCCACACAGGCGTTCACATGCACCTTTTCAGAACTATGATCCAAAATGTTCATAAAGGACCCTGTGGTGCCAAAGTGGATGTCACTATAGCTGCACTGTGACATCCACCTGGTGCAGGATGGGTGGAGGTTCAGGCATCTTATACAATACACTATAAACAAGACTGAATGAAGACCTGGACCCAAACTAGTAAAAGGCCTGCATCCTTCCGAGCATGCAGCCACCGCCCCACCCACATCATAATATTGTCAATTATATTAAGAGAATTAGAAGGTTTTCTGAAGGCCTTTTAATGTTGACATCATTCAGTCAAAATACACATTTTTCCCTCTTAACTGTAGTGCTTTTTGTTCAGTGTAGATTGTGTTAGTCAGATTGTTGGAGATATTGGCCGTATAGAGGTCTGCTTTCTCTCCAATATAATACGACTAGGTGATACCGTATGGTTCTCCAAGCAACCAAACAAATATTATTATTATATTATAATAGTAATCCTGACCCAGTTTCTCAAGATAATCCACAGACTTTGTTATAAACCAATTTCACGGGGGACTATTTTCTTTCAAACAAAATACACCCACCAACCGTATTACTTAACACTATAGCCACAGCTTGGGAAGCCCCCTGAGGACCTCCTGTCTCTCATATTTCTGAATATTAACCAAATAATTCCTGTAGTGATGCATCTTCCTATTTACCCAAAGCGTGGTGTCATATTTGCATCAAGAGGCCCGAACATAAGCCACACTTCGTCCTCCATATTGCTTCAGCTCTGCTTGTGCCGAGCCATCTTTGGCAATTCAACCCAATTACATACACTCGACTAACATCAGCATGGAGACAGTGACCTCCTTCCTGTATGCATCTTCCTCATTACAGCTGAGAGGAGAAACATGGAAGGAAATAGGACCCACCGTCCCCTCCCCTCCCCTCCCTATTCTCTACTTTCCATTGAAGCAGCACCACCATCCCTGCAGCTCTGCTACTTAACCAGGGGGAAATAATGTAATAGCAACATGTATGTGGAATTCAGCTTCATGAAAATGGTCATTTACGAGGATAGCTTGACATAAAGAGCCGGGTTTAAGTGGATGCGGGGAAGCATTTTCCCCACCAGTTAGCAGTGATACCCGGGTAACACCACACACAAAGAAATGTGAAATCTCAAAGTCATGCATACCATGAGTGGCACCGTGAGTGTAAATCTACTGGAGGAATTAATATTATTACAGATTAAGGATGGATTTTCTGCACTTGTCGCAAAGATGCTATAAAAAAAACCTCCCACCCTCAGCACATTATTGATGTATGATCCATGCAATCTCAGTGGTGTATGTTTTGAAGTAAAACCGATGTGCAAATTGCATTTAAGGAATACAAAGCTAATTTAGCGGTGATATCCTGCAGCTCGGACCTCAGGTTTGTCGCGGTGAAGGGAGCACGCCGCACCGGTGACATCCTGCACCCACACCCCGCAGGCCCGCGCCGAAATACACCGGACCCCCAGCCGGGTAAACCCTCTGTTTGAAACAACATTAAAGCCCCTAACACTCACTGTGATGCGGGGGATGTTCTTCTTGCCCTGGTATCCAGACATGTTCACGGGTGTTTCGTGTTGCGCTACGCCGCGCCTGATCCGCAATGAATGCGACGGATTACCGCTGCTCGCCGGGTGGAAACGAGGATGACCGTGGAGAGAAAACGGGAGGAAGAAGCTCGCTCTGAGGTCACACAAAGAGTCAAAGTTATCTCTCAACTCCGGTTCGAGTCGTGTCCTGTCCCTGGCAACCTCCCCGCTCTCCGCCGATGCACCAAACCTTTCCTTTCCCAGACTGGAGTCAGACAAGAGAAGAGGGTAGAGGAGGGGAGGGGCCGCGTGCGAGGCTCGTCCCATAAAAGAACCGCAAGGAGCATGCGCAGAGCCTCGCCCTGCTCCTCAGGAAAGAGCCTCTAATGCCATCAATTGCTCTCCTGGGATTAGTGAAGAGTGCGCCAATTGAAGAAAGTAGCCATCTTACTTTCTGCTGTTTCAAAATGTAGTTTATTAGAATACATGAAATGTCACTCTTTGCAAGGAGGGCTCACTTTACCTAATGAACGTATTTCATCCATATTTGTTGGTGATTTTAAAAGTAACAAAATAGTTTCAAGACACGAGTGACACTTGTTGTGGTCAGCAGTTTTAGTAATGGGATTTTCTTTCCCATTGTTCGGTTAAAACTAAAATAATATAAAACTAGGAGAGTGCAGCTCTCTGTCAAGGCCAGATCTCTTAACTCATGATGATCCTTGGTGTTTCTATTGACTTGCATTGAGAGAAACTATCTTCCATACACTGCAGAAGCCAGAGAACACGCCTATAATTGATTTGTGTAATATAACAGGATGGATTACCCAGATAAAAAGAAAAAACAGATTGACAAGAGTTAATTTAAATTAAAAAAAAATAGATATATTTTCTCATGGTTAATAGTATTATCGAAGTGAAACTATTTACTTCTGTATGGGCCCTACTTTTACTTGCAGTATCCTGATAGAGAAGACTCAAAAAGTGAGTAAACCGATGAAAGTTGGCTAATGTTAGCTTAGCACAACACATGGCTACATAATCATACCGCACAGTTAATGTGGCAGAAAAGCCTTGAAACAGAGCATTTATATTTATTATGTATTCAACGTTATTTATAAGAGGAAAGTGGGTTGTTTGTTCTTTTAAAACTTGCTAACGTTACATAAGTCCTGCTTCAAGCTCTTTTAAAAGTGGTGCACAGCTCTGTATGAGTTGTTCTCAAAGTTCAACCCTAATGTAAAATATAGATCTTTGCAGTCTGCCAGTGGTAATGTATTATGCCACTGTGTGAAAATACTGCATTCAATATTGTACACAAGTAAAATTGATATTAAAATGCGCCTAAAGTATAAAATGTATACACTCATCATGCAGATTGAGGCGTTGTAGTACAGTGTATTGTATTATGTTACCGGATTACTATCATTGCTGCATTCGTGTGGTCAGATGGGAATACACTAGTGCTGGGTAGCTTGCACATTATCCCATTGGAGCAATAACGTTTTATTTTCATAATCATTTTTTATGATAATCTGTTGATTATATATGTGTGTTAATAATATAAAATCTAATATAAAACATGTAGACTTGCCTTTTTAAATATTGTAAAGTAGAAGTACACATTAGCAGAAGCTAGAAAACACAAGTCAATGAAACATGTACTTGGACTTGAGTACTCTCCACTGCAGTCTGCTAATGTGATGACTAAGCACAATAGCTTTTAAACATCCCATCTTTTCATTGTAATATCTCTTAATATTAAAACGTAAATTAATGCTTTATGTATATTCCTTTCTTAGAGAGCCCCAGGGGAAAATACAACACAAAAAGAGTAAGCCGATATTAGAGTATATAGGGAGAAGGTAAAGAGTACACTGTGTGACCAATGCTCCCAATCAATATGTAACATGAGGCTCACCCCTAAGCTTTTACCAGCATCCTGAGTGCTTGGTTATTAAGTAAAGGAAGTATTGATAGTGTTAGTGCCACAGTTTAACACACAAGTGCAAAACCTGGGTGGTGAGTTTGAACCATGTAGCAGAAAAGTTGACATTTTCCTGCAAGTCATGCAAGTCACATCTGCCATCATCCTCCACACCCTGCTGTTTGACAAGTTAATGCACTACTAGCACAACAATACAGCCGCAAATAAAATCCCATTCAGAAACAGGTAAACATTTCTTCTGATTTATCATTCAGATATTAGCAGATGTTTTGCCCAAGGACACTTCAGCAGATCATACACACACACACACACACACACACACACACACACACACACACACACACACACACACACACACAGTTTATTACTGTAATGTGCAGCAGAGGGGATAACATATAAGCCCCCATTGACAGGAGCCACTCCCTCCCGCAGCCCTGCATGGTGGGGCCCCTCCATCTACAAGTATATTACATAACCACACTGCTTCCTGGGAAATGTAGTCATGGCAAGTTGACTGGCAAACTCAAATGAGTGTCATTCGTATGGTTGTGCATGAAAATAGCGCAAATATCTAAACGTGGATGACAGAAATAAGACATGAAAACACAAGACATAAGCTTTTAATATCAGATACATGTACCTTTTTATCATCCAGGTTCTGCAGGTATTCTTTCCCCGTGCTCTCCCTTATCTCCACCTTCCTGGGCTGGGAGATGTCGGTCTGCCGGTCGATCACCCGCCCGTCACTCCTCTCCTTGCCCGCCTGGAGCGCGTCAAAGTCCAGCGTCTTGCTGTCCGCGGAGCCCTCCACCGGGCAGAACATGCCACAGAATTTCTGCCTGGGCCTGGCGGGGCTGTCAGAGCCTATGCTCTTAAAAAACGCTGGTACTTCCCCGGCGGTGGACATTGCAAGTCTAGCAAGTGAGGCAGGGGACGGCGGTGAGGTTTCTGTGGGGGAGTAAATCTGCTCAGATGCTCAGCTTTTCCTTTTTTTTTTCTCTCAGCTGAACAGCCACCGCCTTTTGCCGGATTGCAAGCGCAGGTGGTCGCACAGTGACAAAAGATCTGCTGCGTGAAAACACTCCCACTTTGGAGAGAGAAATAAATCAGTGCGTAATATCTGAATGTGTGGAAATGCGCTACAGATCAGCAGTTTGCTTACTCATGAGTCTATATTAGCTCCTATAGCCTCCAGCCAATATCCTCCCTGTGCGAGTCAGCATATGAGGGAGAGACCTCCAGTCAGCCTTTGTCAAAATACAGATCCAATTGGCTAAGGAGGAGGTGGTTTCCCGATGAGAGATTACCTGTAGCCTGTGTGGAGACATGCACCAGATCTGCCCGTCCGGGAGTGATCTGATCCTTTCTTGTGCAAAGTAAAGACTTGTTCTTTAAACATCTAATCCATCAGAGAGCTGCTGCCTGTCAGGGACAGTAAATGCTGTGTCATGGTTTAAGTGTCATACAGCTGTGGGTCTCAGCAGGGCGTGTCTGGGAGAAAGTTTGAAGTGACCAGCACCATGGAGAGATCCACAGTCACACCCTGCCCATCAGGGCGCTGTCCCTTCAGCACCAGCCTGTCCACAGCACACGTATGATACAGGACATGTGTAGAACATACTGAGTCATAAACAGATACATGACAAGGAAGGAACACTGTGGGAAATGCAGGTGACAGTTTTCAAGGACAGATTCATCCCACAGGTTAGAAGACTGAGCTCTGTGAAGTGTCTTCTTCATGTGTTTATATCTTATCCATCTGTTAACAGTCCACATATTTATCTATGTTTACAATAAGCAGTGTTTTATTCCACTGTAGAATGTATACACTTTTACATTACATTTTTTTCATTTTGTTCCATCTTGTTCAAACATCTAAATACACAGTTTACATATTCATATTCACTTTTTTCACATACAAATATTAGGCAGGGGACGGCAAATAAAAGGGGGCATAAAAGTACTTATTACCCAATCTTAGTCTTATATAGATTGTAACCCCTGCAAAATCTTAGCAGTGTGACTCATACACATTTTCGGGTTTGCAACCTCAACACTTTCCAGCATCATGGTCTGCTCACACAAGGTTATACTTTATTTACTCTAGGCTGGTGTAAAGCAGAGTAACACACTGCCTGTGTCACACTGCTACACATCCGCCACCACGCAGTACACCACACTGCAGCTGCAGTACACAGAAAGTATGTTTGTAGTAGTCAGTATGCGAGCTACGTAAATATCAATACATTTACATCATTAGGCCAGAAACGCACATTAGTGTAACTCAATTCGTTGTTCTGACTGCCAGATGTGGCTCGATGCAGGAAAACATCCCCATGGTCACACATGATATCATTCATGCCAGAGTGTACGTTGTGTGTCACATCACACACACACTCCCGTTATTGTTATGTCTATTAATACTGTTAATACATGTTTATTCTTATTTTATTTCTTATTTTTCTTTTAATTTATTTATTCCCTTGTGTATTCCAATATATTTGTTTCTTCTTATTCTGTTGCTGCCATGACACGTGAATTTCCCTAGGGGGTAAATAATGGTCCATCTTATCTTATTTGTTCTTGGTCCATATTTAAAAAACACATGTATTAGGAGTATGGTGGAGGCTTATCATCTCTGCACACCACATGTTTTCAACAGTATGACAGTATTCTCAAGGCTCGTCATTCTTACTGCCACGGTAACGCTTCTTTGATCCTCGTTTTAAACGCCCTTCAAGTCATCAAGCAGGCATTGTAAGCACATCACAATGCATCCCAGCCGGATCATTAAATATCATTACGCAAACACATCGAGACAAGCAGCATAAATATGACGTAGAAATGTCTCGAGGGACTTATTATATTAATTAGCTTTAAATACCCTCAACAACACAAGTTAATAACATGAATGGGTTACTGAACGGGCCAACCGGGCACAGGCCCAGGGACCTAAAATGTCAGGCCCCCCCCACCATGGCCGTCAACTGTGACTACAAAGAGACACAACACAACCACAGAGACTCAAAACTCCTGCAAAGAAACACAACAAAACTACAAAGGGTCTCAAAATGACTAGAATCTGAGACAAACTCAGAGAGATGTGTATTGACTTCAAAGGGACACATCAAAACAACAAAAATACACTAAACAATCTTAAAGTCTTTCCGTCTTGTTCGGATGTTTGAGAGGTGCCGGGGCCTTTTGTCTCATAATCAACCCTAGTAACAACTAGTTATATCCTGAACACGCATATTTAACTTCATCAGCTCATACAGTACAATTGTGATTTGAAGAATATGTACCTGAATAAATAATGTTTTGTAATGGACATATTTCCATTTTTAGTTGACCCTAGTATAGAGCTTAATGGCTGTGAGGTATAAATAAATCAGTGCTGCATGGTGATCAATAATGGCCGATAGAAACAGCTAACTCACACACACACACTACACACTCTATACACACACACACACACACAAAAGCTGTCCTGCACCGTGGAAACATTTCAGCAGTGAGTTCATGTCCACTCAGTTTCCATAACAACGTGGTGGGCAGCAAATGGCTTTGCTGCTACCATTTCCTCTCCCAGTGGTCTCTGTGTGTGTGTGTGTGTGTGTGTGTGTGTGTGTATGTGTGTGTGTGTGTGTGTGTGTGTGTGTGTGTGTGTGCGTGCGTGCGTGTGTGCGTGCGTGCGTGTGTGCGTGCGTGCGTGCGCGTGCGTGCGTGCGCGTGCGTGTGTGTGTTCATCTCTACAGGAGAGCCAGACCATTTCCTCTCCCAGTGGTCTGTGTGTGTGTGCGCGTGCGTGTGTGTGTGTGTGTGTGTGTGTGTGTGTGTGTGTGTGTGTGTTCATCTCTACAGGAGAGACAGACAGTCTGATTGCCAAATGTCAAAGGTGGAAAGTGCAACGGGAAAGTGTTGAAGGCGCAGCCACGCCCAAAGGCTATTGTTCCACAACACAAAACACATGTCCCCCTGGTCAGAGACAGAGAGAGACAGACAGGGGGGTAAGGGTAGGGTGGGGTGGGGGGGGGGGCAAGTGTTAAATCATTAGAGAGGAAAGTTGGCAGCGTGCCCGATAAACCGTTGAAAGAGAGGTCTCTGGCCAGGAACACATGTAGGACCTGCAGGGAGATCAGCAGCACTCTCTGCTGGGCTTTTTAGATTAGGTTATAGTTTTCTTGCAAGGCAGTACAGAGCAGTTTCTCAATGTGAATACAGCTAATTAAATATGTGCAGGATTATGCAGGATCCAAACATTTAAGAGATTGAAATGCATCAGCATGCACCATGATGACGAAGCAAATCTTTTGAAAAAGCATGTCAAAACCAAGAAATGTATGGATTTGATGGAATACACAGATATTGATTCACTAATCACTTCAGTCGTCTTCTGGTTATCCTCCCTAAACACTGACGCACATGTTCAGGGTTATAGTGGTTCGGCATCCATACCAAAAAGAAAGGTTTTCAACCCCAAGAAGACTATTTACTTGGTGCAAACAAGTCAAACCTACATTGAACAAATGTAATGTAGGCACTGAACTCACACCACGTATGCCTCTCTCTTAATGAATGTATGGAAGATAAAATATGGAGAAAGTCCCGTGTTTCTTTGACCCAACTATCCACCATGACCTCCTCCATACACAGTGTTTAATGGACTTTGATCCGAACTGTGTTTGTGACCCAGAAAAACAAAGTATTCTGAGATTTTCTTTTGAAATGAATCTCATTTAAAAAGTAGTGTCATTGTATTTGAACACAATTTTCAGGAGACCGAGTCGGGGTAATTCAATCGATTCCTTGGTTGTTATTCAAGCGGTCAGTCGATGTATCGCTTTAGTTCAAACTGAAATACCTCGACAACTGTATCATGGTCCTGGATTGCTAGCAAGTACAGGATTCATCGTCCCAAGAGGGTGAACCCTGCTAACTATGACCATCATTATGACCAAATCCCAATGACATTCCCATAGTAGACACTGAAGGTCTCTACACTATAGCTGCTTGTTCGTGTGAAGCAGCAACGTCACTGTGTCGGCAGTGACTAACAACAAGGCAGCAACATGACACGAAGAACAAGGAGCCCGTATTAATATTAAATCATCCTTTGCCACAGATGTTTGACTGCAAAGGGGATTAAAGGAGTGGTTTGAGTGGCACTTAACCCACACGTGTTCCTTGTACATACAAAAGGAAGTGAGTGCAAGGAGGAAAGACAAACAGGAAACCCGCCTGCCAACAGGAAGACGCTCCGCATGCCTCTGACTTTATAAATAAACATGACTAGAAATGTCTTTTTCTATATTTGATGGCTCCATGTGTTTGCAATTTGACTTTATAATCCACCTTATCCATAACTCATGAACACAGCAGTGTTTTACAGTCATTACAGCTGTCTGTGTTTGCAGATTCCTAGTAATCTGAATTATTTCTGATTTTTGATGGTTCACGTGGCGCCGAGAGCTGCTGCAGTGCTGCATCCTGAGGAGGAGAGGAGGAGAGTCTTCCTCACCGGAGGGATGGAGATGGAGCTGGCCACCACCCTGTAACCCATGGTAACGCCATCAGCTGCAGTGGGAGGAGCCGAGTGTCTCGCTGTGTGTGGATTGGCTGGGAACAGGTGTTCTGAGGTTCCATATAGGGAAGGTGGAGGAGGACTGGAGGAGGACTGGAGGAGGACGCATGGCATTACTCTCATTATTTCTCTCTTATGTGAACTTCTGAAATCTATTGTGTTTAATAGGCTTACTGACACTTCCATTTGGCACATGAACACAGTCACATCAACTTCGATATCTATTCATTTAACATGAAGTAGGGTCCAATCATTTTGTAATTTCATCCATTAAAAATGTCTGATATATTTGACTAAATGTCTTATTTATGATCATCTTTGTTTTTTAGCTTCATGCATTTGTTTTTTATTAAACATATTGTTCTAGTTTCCTTAAACAATTTTGCACTTAGAATTATATTTAATCAAAAGCTCAAAGAAAAGTTTGACATTTTAAAAAATATGACATTTTCTAGTTACACCAGTATGGAGTATGAAAAAAATGTATAGTATAAAATGTATTTAAAGATACTGTAACTAACACATACAAAAACAAATAAAAACTTGACAATGTTTATGTTGTTATTTTGTATTTCTCCATGGTCTGGTTTTTTCCCCACATTACTTTTAATATTCTATTATTGTATGTATTCCTTTATTTTATACTTACAAATGTTTTCATTCTATTAAAACGTTTGTACAGATCAATATGTATCCTAGCTGAATCCAGCAGCATACAGACTGGACACTATTCAACTGTCCAAATGT